AATAGAGGAAGACTGCATCCTCGGGAATTGTACGCGCTGGTACACGTGATATTCTCTGATACGAACATACAAGTATATCTACATAAGAAATATTATTTAAGTATAGGCTGAGTGATGTGCGAAAGAGTGTTAGGCCAAAGACCAAGTTGCATGTAATATGTGATATGTGTGTTATGTTATGTTATGTTACGTGTTAGGTTATTAAGATCATGGGTGAGTAGGGGTTAGTGACCATGAACAACTAATGACGAGCTTAGGAATAGATCCAAAGTTTGGACTGACCAATCTTAGGTCGAATTCCAAAATTTTAGAAACCAATTGATTTTTAATAAATTTTAGGATAAATATCTTTTTATCTGAACTGTTTTAAGCAAATTTTAACGATATATGTTAAGGTGAAACTGACAAGTGTGGCATCCGTGATTCCTTTTCTAGATCCTGATTGATCATTTAATTGCTCATTTGAGTCAAAACTTGAAATCGAAATCAAATCAAATTTGGAAAGAACAGTATGGACAATTTCAACCTGGATGAATTGATGGACCTGGCAGAGGCATATGTAGGACCGATGGTAGATGCGATCTATCGTCGGCTGATCGAACGAGACTTCGCTCTGGAGGACCCAGAGGTGGTCATGTTGCTGACCGCCCTGATTAACATCTTGGGGCACGACAACCGTGGGGACCGCCCCACGGAAGTCCTGTTGATGGCAGCATATGGAGAAAGAGGAGTACTAGACCGCCCGAACATGAGAGTGATGAGGTGGAGAACCGGGGCTCTCTCAGGGAGTGACTTGGCGAATGAGCCTGGATTGGGAAGTTCTAGGACATACCAACAAGGTGAGATGCCAATGCCCTCTAAGCCTAAACCTGGGCTGACGAGAATGCATCGGGAGATGAACAGCGAGGCGACCTCGTCTGGTTCACCACTGAGAGCAGCTGTGCCACCAAAAGGGGCGAAAGTAACACAGAAGGTTCAGACGAACCAAACCATACAAGATCCGGACGAGATGAACGATCAGCTGAGAAGTACGAAGAAGGAGTTAGACGATATGACGAAGACCATGCTGGCGATGGAGGAAGACCGGGACATGTGGAGAAAGTTGTTTGAAGACTGCAACAAAAAACAGGGTCAAGAGATCGAACGCTTAAGGCAGGAATACAAAGAGCGATCGGAACAGGCGGCGTTGACGACGGCCATTGAGAAAGTGATACCTGCAAGGGATATTCCTCGTAGGCAGTCCCCGATGGAGCTCTTGACACCTCGAGAAATGAGTCAAACAACGGAGACACGGCTTCCAGCAGAGACGAACCGAGTAACAATCCCGGATCCTAGTGACACCTTGGGTGATCCCGTCGTAGAACAGACAGTGAGAAAACTGATAGAGACCGCTGGACGATTGGTCGCTAACAAGAATGCACCAGGTTCCGGGGTGACTGCACCCTATGGAACGATTGACGATACGGGCAGAGTACAACTCTCCCAGACAGTAATCAGACAAGGGATGAGTAACGTGACACCACTCATGGGGAGCTCGAGAATCCCAGAAAGGAAAGTACGAAAGATGCCAGCGAAGAAAGTGTCTCGTGTAATGGACGTGCAGAAGAATAATCAATTGAAGTATAATTTCACGGGAGTTCCGGAGACAGATCCGAGGGCCTGCTTCAATCGAGCTACCTGGAGCCCGGCTGTGAACCTGCAGCAACCACCACTCGGGACATCTCACCTGATATTGGGAGACAGCTTAGTCAGAGTGCTGTCGAATTTGAAGACCTCATGGGTCACCACGGTGATGGCCTTTGGAGGCGCGACCATTGCCCAATTATATCGCATGGTGGAGCTGATGAATCCACGGAAGATACCCAATGTGATGATCTTAGTTGGGACGAATGATATCTCCAGAGGATCAGATGAGCAGGAAGCACTGTGGGAATCAATGATGGTGTGTTTGTTCACTACTCTCTGGCAGAAGTTCAGTTGCGCGGTACTGACCGTTTGCACGGTGCCAATGAACGCAAGAAGCCTGACAGCATCAGGAAGGAGGCACCAACGAGAGAACAATTGCGGAAATTAGATTGTCTGAAAGATTTAGATCTTTTTGAGACAATGTGCAAAGTTCTAAACATTCCGATGGAAGTGAAGAAGATATGGGCAAGAAAACGATTGATGCCATGGTTCAGAGCTAACATGACTGCATGGTTGTACGAGTATGCGAAAAAGCATATGTCGAAGCATGGCAGAGTATACAGTGAATATCAGCTGGACATTGGGGCAGGAGCTTTCAAGCGAGCTTTCGTGACCCATCGGAATGCAGTGACCACCGCTGTGAAAAGAATTTCCAGGACGAGCGAGCGTAGTGGAAATGAGAAGGCAGAGATGCTGAAAGAAGATTTGGAGAGAAACGTGACGTTGTGTCTCCACAACAGCTTCTGTAGAAACAGAGAATCAAACGTGGATCCCCTACCTTGCTGTAAGCAGAGGGTGGAAGAGCAGAAGTGTTGGAGGACGGCTTCCAACAGCGTCAGGATAGTCAATGACGTGCTACAAGACACGGAAACCGAAAGTGCGGAGTCAGTGTCACAGGAGGAGGAAATGGAGCATTGACGAATGGTCGAGAAAATAAGAGGCAGCAAGAAAGAAAATTAGAAGAAATTAGAAGTTTTAGAACTTCTAAACGACGAAAAAGAAGAGAACAAAGGGATGATGAAGAAAAGTCAAAACTCAGAATTGTTTTATGTGTGTGAAGAACTCAAGTGAGAAACCAAGCAACCAAGTTGTAATTGAAAACTGAAACATTTAGTTGAGTTTTGAAATTGTTGCATTTATAAATTTGCATTTTGGTTTTAGTTGAAGTGGCTTTAGAGACACTCACTTATTATTTATTTAGAAAGGCTTGAGGGAAGGGTATATTAAAATATTCCAGCCTGCATGATTGTTTTTAAATCACTTAGGAAAACTGATCACTTTGTGGTGATGTGGAAGGCTTGAGTAATCTCTCGAAGAGGGAGATTGTTTCATTGCTCTTTCTAACCACAAAGTTTCTTAGTTTTAATATTCAGGACAATAAACAAGCAAGATTTCCGAAAGGAGGGAGCATAGTAGGATAATTTTAGCTTGTTGGTTGGCAGGACTGTCCTGCAAGCCAGCACCTTTTAAATCTAAGAGAAAAAATTTCAATCGGGACATTGACACTGGAGGTCAGAAAATATGTTTTATCTTAAGTCATATCCTCAATGTGCAGATTAATGAAAGAATTTGAAGGCTATAGTGATGTAGTATGATGCCATTTATATTCTGCAGTGAGTCGATGTGACGTAGATAAAAGTAATTTCGTGCATTTTGTAAATTTTGTTCGATGACACTGTAACCGTTTAGAACATTGCACGATTCAATGAGGACATTGACCGGACTGTCCGGGGAGTATGTGACATTCGACCAGAATGGCCAAAATGCAATCTCTGCAGACTTCGAAATTTTAGCAGTGAACCTTCCGAGTTGATGATTTTGAAGGATTAACGACGTTATTGGAACGTTTGGCCAAACGGTGAAGGCTGGAATATTCTAGTATTTTAAAATTTCAAAAATTCGAATGATGACGTCACATTTCTGAGAAATGCTGAAACGGCCATTTTTAACAAAAACGAGTGAAAAAAGAACAACAACATTAGTTGCGCTGACGAGAACAACTTGATCGAAATTGAAGAAGTCGAAATTGAAGAAAAACAGCAGCAGAGTGTAGAGAACGTTCCGAGTTGCAACTATTGTGCTGCTACAATAGTTGCAAGGCCGTTGCGAACAACGGTGAAGGGTAAGAAATCAGCCCTACGTGTTATCGTGAATTCGAACTTAAGGAGCTTGATTCACTGGATTCAAGAATCCGGAAGGGTCTCGGGACGGAAAACTTTTATTGACTCATATGAACTTTTAGCATCCTGTCATGTCCTGACTTGAATTTAATTGATATTTGGATTAGTTTTGACAAGGATGAGGTGCTAAGAGTTGGGGGGGAAAGGGTTGATCCATCTTCGATGGAGATGATGATTTTTATCTACTGAACAAAAACAATAGTAATATAATAAGTAGTAGCCCTGTTTTTAGGAGTGACCTCGTGGTCTGGGGATACTGAGACCCAGCCATGAGCTCACTATTTTTGCATGTAATTCAGTTAATTTGAGCGTTCTGGTCGAAGCCGGAGAACAGTAACGTTTTTGTCGACCCGATGTAAGAAAGACCACCGAAAAGTACTGGCTTGGTAGAGACGGTGAAAAACATGCAAAGCTCTGTTTAGACGCTAGCCAGTCGTCTTAAGACTTAGTTTTGTTATCCGTCGATATGTATCTTCCGGGCGAATGTTACACCGACTAAATCAGAAAATTGAATTTCGAGAAATGCGAGGCTTAAAGCGAAGATTGATACAGATGATGTGGAAGTTTTTGGACGATCAATTCTCAGAACAAAACAAGTGCACATGGGTCCTCTTCTGTGACTGCAACATGTGCCGAAATAACTGGACAAAATTTAGAGAACTTTGGGGATATCATCCCATCAGTATACTACTGAAAATTCACAACAACAACGACAACAACAAACTAACAGATGTTAAAGTCAACTTTAAAGACATACTAACATACAGAAAAGCAAAGATAAAATTCAAGAATTATTATTTATTATTTAAAGAAGACACCTCTGTGGCAACTCATGGTAAAGTTTCATGGAAAAGCTTCAAGTTTATATAATAATATCTATATATAAAAACACCTTGAAGCTCTCAGGTGAAAAGTAATCATCGATAATTGTAATAAATTTTGTTTTATTGTAACTATGCGTATCTAATGATGTTATTATATTTTTATGAATTTATAGAAAACATTTGACATACACTTGTGTATTGAAATTAATTTCGATGTGCAAATAAAGTGCTCTTTTTTTGCAATTCAAGTTTTCATTTTTAAGATGGCGCTTCTAGAAGCAGTCGAAGATGCCGTGTTTGTTTCAGAAGAGTTATGGATGTAGGTGGTGCTTCTGCAAGTGATATGGCCTTGATATGGCAGGACATTGTGAAATGTCAACTCTGTTTGGGAACAATGAATGATCCCCGTTCGTTACCCTGCTTGCACTCGTATTGTCTATCTTGTCTGGAAGAATGGGCCAAAGGCTCCAGCGCTCTGATTTGTCCTTTCTGTCGGTCTGTCAGTGCTACGCAACATATATCATCTTTACCTGTTGATTTCAAAGTTGCTAAACTAATTGAAACTTTGAATATGAACTCTATCAATTCGCATCCATCGCCGGATAGAAATTCGGGCAATGTCTGCCTCGATCATCAGAGATCTTGGGAACTATTTTGTTCCGCCGAGGGTTGCTTAAAGCCCATTTGCTACAAGTGCTCTATTACTACTCATCGGAATCACCCGATGGCTGAAATTCCAGATCATTTCAACTCACTTTTGGATGATTTATCCAAAGTTCAATTGAAAACCCATGAAACAATTGGAAATCTTAATAGCTACAGCAATAAAATCACGAAACTTGAAACTATCGGCGATAAATTGAAGACTGCAATAGACACAGTTGTAACTGAGTTGTTGACAAAAGACAACAATGAGATTGCTGACAAGTTGAATTCATCGTTCAAATCCCAAACCGATGAGAATTTCTTCCAATTGCATGACCTTCAAGCCCGCGCTGGAAATGTTAGAGAAAAATTAGTGAAAGTTATGAGTGACCCCAAAGCTAGCGAAAATATTCGCGATATGCACACTGAAGTAAATTCAGTGACCTCTCAGCTGAGCAGACTATGTTCAGATGCAAATTCCAGAGTTGAGAAAGATATGTTGTCAGATGAGGTAAAGTTTCTTGAAATTCGTTTTCGTTGGCTCAGTTTAAAGTCAAATTTAAGTGAGTTATTTTTTAGGAATTAGAAAAATTCAGCCATCTATGCTTGAGACTGTTGACAGTGGAGAAAAATGGAGAACACATGACTGCTGAAAACTTTGTGCCTGAAAATGGAGCTGGTGTGTACCGTCCTCCGAAAGTGAAACTAGTATTCAAAGCTGTAAATTTCCCTCTGGAACATCACGTGCAGGTTCAGGACGGTGCTTGTGTGGAGAACAAAATGTTCATCATCGACAAAAGCAACCACTGGGCCAAGGCATATGATCTTGGTACTGGACGCTACTTGTACATAAGTCATAGGCAGGTTGTGAAAAACCCCTACAGATTATGTGCACTGCCACTGGATCACAAATTGGTGCTACTGGAACTCAAGGCTGCTAATGGTAACGGAGAAAATGGTGGCAACGGGTTCTCTTCTTCCTCCTCGATGAACGGAAATGGCAGTACTAGCAGTAGCTCAAATAGCTCAGCCAGTGGTAATGGAAACGGAAACACGCATCCGGTGAATCCGGCAACTGCTCAGAGGAATCTAAGTATCGTGAACCTGGATTTGAAGAAGAAAGAGGCCTTTGTTCCAGAAGTTGAAGGAATTGTATGGGATGTGACTACTTGCCTGAGAACTAGCTTAATGTACATAGTAGTGAAGCCATGTGCTATTTATCGACAGGTTGAGCGTAAGAGTACTAAGTTCGACTTTTTATTCGACGTTCCGAACTGCCAACCAGTAGCGCAGATTGCAGTTTGTCCAGTGTCTGGTAATATTGCTGTCGCCAACAGCATGGAGGGAAAGATCTCCGTGTTTGACCATGATGGAAACGCCTTATGGAGATACCCGGATGGATTCAAAGTCAACTTCAAACGACTACAGTCCATCGGATACGACTTCCTGGGCAACCTTCTTGCAGTGGACAACTACTATCAACAAGTGCAAATCATTTCCAAACGAGGTGCCATGCTCAAGATGCTGCACGGGCGGGGACTCAAGTTCACCAACCCATTATGTACAGTGCCAGTGAACCCTGACGAACTGGCCATTCTTGCCGAATCGGGAGATGTGGTTGTGGTCGACAGCTACATAAAGCTCAGCTAGAAACTGATCATAAATCAAAGAACCGTCTCGCGAGGAGATCCACTTAAGTTACCCAACCCAAACCCAAGTACCCCCATCGAATATCGAACCGAATACCTAGACATTGCTAACTAGTCTTTTTAATAGCGCATTGGAATTTATAATCGCTGAATATCAAATGCAACCTCAATTAGTAGTGAAAGCGTGTTAATATTATGTAGCAAGCAATTGCAGTGTGTCCAGTGTTATTACCGATTACTGATTTATAAACTCTGATTTGATTTTGACGTTTCTACTTTAGCCTAGAAAACTGATGCTGAATGTGCTTAAACTTTTTTATTAGAATTTAGTGAAGTAAATTTATGTTATGTTCTATGAAGGTTTCCGGCAGATATGACAGCATCACTTAAGAAGACGCTCATTTGCATGGGGATTTTAAGAAAAATTTTCTATCAAAATTGGGCAATTTTATTCACAACTTAGGTTTTAAGGTTTGCGTGCCTTGTTTTTGAGAAAAAAGCGCCCAATCTGAGAACTGCTTCAGTCTTGTTTAGTACATGCAGTCTTCTTAATGTTCTGTCGTCCTATTTACCCAGCTCCTTCTATGAAGTGTCAGCGGAAGTGAAGTAATTCGTTTGGCGTTGATGACTCAACATGCTCTTATGTCTTTTGACCGGATCATCTATCAAAGTAATTCCCTTCGGTCATTTCTGTGCTGTTAATGGTTTTAATCTGATTATAGACTCCCATGTTTTGTGCTTAAGAGTAATAGCAAAGAAATTAATGAGAAGCTTAAAATTATCACTTTTGGTGACTGGTGTTTGCTGTAAAACATTGAAATGCAATTGAATTTTCTTTCCTTTCACTTCTGCAACGTTTTAAACTAGTTAGTATTTTTGATGCAAATACGATTTCATTTATGGGCTGAAAGATCAATTGGTAACCCTTTCAAAAAGTTTATATCAATTCTTATACTATTTCGTTGGAAGCATAATCTGTAAGAGATATGAGTATCTGTATACCTACTCAAAAAAAATTTTATAAATAAAGGGTCTTGCTAAATTGGTCTGATTAATGATCTTTAAGGTGCGTTTCATACATTGCAATAAGGGCATTTGATTTAATGACAAGTGCTCAAAAAACATACCAAATTTTGATAATGTTTACACTAGCGAAGTGTTGTCATCTACATAATCTGTTGAATTAGAGCTTTTGAAATTCTAGGATTTTTTCGCGGATTACAATAAAATGTTCAACGCAGAGTGATGTTGAGCTGTAATCTCAATATTTATAATATTTTGGTTTGTGATTTTACGAATATTGAGTTTGGATGTTCATAAAAAGATCGGACTTCGCTGGTGTTTGCGAACTGCCTCTTCGCATCCGTGTAAATATATTGATGAAGTATTCTGAACAGGTCAAAAATGTCACAATTCTAATTTTTCGAAAACTACATGAATTTCATTTCAAATTAGTATGCATTCTAAACTTGTCGAAATGGCAGGCTGTGTGCTGTTCTGAATTTGGCATTTTTGACCGGAAAATATAATTCCGCAATTGATTTTTTTTGTTAACCTGTTATTGAATGTGATACGACTAACTGATTATCGAATAATATTTACTTGTACTTTTGTTCCTAAAACTAACCATTTGGAGTTTTACAATGCATAACTCAAACCAACTCAATGAGAATTGTTTTGCTAATTTTTCAATTTGCGACGTTGTTCTATTTTTTGACGAATCGAATAAGGGAAGCAAGTCTGCATTTAAATTCATGAAAAATATCGGGACCAAAAGGACTATATTGAACTGATAACTACATGTAGTATCCCAATATGTATTTTTATATAACAAAAACCAATAGGCCGACTAGTCCAGAAGCAGAATTATTCCGTCTATGAACGAGTCAACTAAAAATAAGAGTTGTCTATCACATTTTTTTTCTAGCGGATGATGCTTAAATCAATCGCTAGCAATAAGGTGAGCAATCGAGTGTTTTTTTGAGCTTTTGCATTGACGGAAACAGGAACCACTCTTCTCTTAGATAGAGACATATGCCTGAAGCACTATCGTTCCTTCATTCGCCTACATTTCATTTTTATTTCCTTACCGTACCGGCCGTGGGAGCTAAATGAATTCGTGAACGAATGCAGATTATACAATGTGAACATGGATTATCAGTTTTGTTCAGGCCTGCCTGTTGTAAGCGGTCAATGACTCCCTCTACATGAAGAAATAGACTACGATTACGTCTATGTAGTGCAGTGCGCTCTTAGAGTGCATTCACTCTAAATAAATGACTCAAATTCACAATTGAATTCCCATTGCTAAGATACACTAAAGAGAGACCATACACCAAATGCATGTACATATAGCACAGATTAACTATTCAACATGTACAAATATTTGCTTGTGGCTACTCATTTTTCAAAAATAGAGTAGAGATACCATCAAATTCATGCTAATCTCAAATCAATAAGACTCACAATAGTGACAAATAATTGTTACTTCTCAGCAAATCAACAATGCATGTACTCTAAGAGAGCATGGCTTATTGGTCGCGAGTAGGATCTCTATCTAGTAAACAGGAATAACCTGGGAGCATGAAAATAAGACCCCAATGCCCAGCTGGGGTCTACTTAACAATCTCCATCCTTTTCAAGAAAGTGGGCAGATTGTTAAGTAGATCAAAATGGTCGAAAATGCTTAATAGAAAGCTCAGTGCTATTTTACTGTATTTATTTATAGGGGTGGAGGTTCTTAAGTAGGTACCATATGGGGGAGAGTGTTAAGTAGATCCCCCAGCTGCGATATTCTTTTGAATAATGCTACCAGTTTTGTATCAACCTTACAATTCCCCCTGCCCCCCTAAAAGATGCCTAGCCACTTATTAGTTTTAAAATCATTTGGGGGGTTGTAAAGGGAAACACCTTTTTGAGAATTTTTGATATCGGATTTTTCGAATCTCTGGCCTTAATCCCCCTTCCCTGCTTATGAAATAGGGAGAATTTTGTTTTTAGGTATAAAATTGACGGTCGTTTAACCGCTGGTTCAGTTATTTAAAGAGATTCTTCATAAGCCACTAAGAGGGAAGGCTATAAAAGTGAAACTACGAAGCTATATAATTCGCATATACTGGCACATTATTTGATCAATCAATATGCATTAATTCTACGGTTGATGCACATTTTCATTTCGATTTCTAAGAACGCAATTTTTTGCATAAGCAGGTAAAAGGATATTATCTTGAGCAGCAAAAATCCTCAGAGGTTCCAGAAAATAGAAAAGACTCACAAAAAACACCGTTTGAAGATGGAACATAATCTGAACTTTTCTGATCTCTGATAGTTTTCCTACTTCGGGGGAAGATTCGGTTGATTGATACAACAATCAGTTGAACAATCAAGTGCTCAATGTGATCAATTGTATTATTATTATCATTTAGATGGATTTAGCCATTAATGGCAAGGATTGGTGACCCTGAGTTTCATGTTTTTTTTTCGATTTCAGTTTCCAGGTGTCGGTGTCCATGTACTGATAGTTTACTCTGCAGTGTTGCCATAGATACTTAAGCAGGCGGGCTTTGAGAGCGATTGGGTTGTAGAAATCAACATTAGTCGGTTGACAACTTTGGAGGTTCGATGCAGGTTCTTTTGACTGTCTTTTCTGTAGATTGCTCCCCGGAAACAAACCATGTCGGTAGTATCTACGTTGTAAAAATTACATAAACATTTGGACAGAAACAGGAGGTCTAATAGTTGAGTGTATAGAGATAAAGGGAGAACATTGAGTTTACAGCATTTCGATATATAGTCTGATTTGTTTGTAATCCATTTCAATACTCGTTGATGAACGAGTATTGAAATGAGTCTTATTGTATAGCATCGGTACCTGTTTTTGGGTTCAATATTTCAAGATACGACTTGAACCTTAAAAGAATAGCTTCTTGATATATGCCTGAGTGAGTTAGTGTATACCATCGGTGGTGAGAAAATGCAAAGTACTTGATATTCTCAACTTCCTGGGAGGAGCTATTTCTCTCTAAGTTTTTGAAAGCTTATAAATCAGCTGAACAAAAGGAATTTTTGCCTTAACGAGTGATTCGAAGATCCTTCAAAGCTGACTGCTAAAACCTTGCCTCTAATTGATAAATTCTTCAGTAAACTGAAATCTTGTAACGTTTTGGACGTCAATTTACAGAAATTTCAACAGTTGATTCCGCAAAATTTTTTAGAGGACGATCTGAAAAAACTCAAGTTTTATCCAAAACCCAAAACCAGAGAAAAAAATTATGCAGAGCTGGTTTATCCGATTTGAAAATGGAAACAATAGAGGACTTCCTGAAGTGGTATAACAATCAAGATACGCACCAAACACTCGAAGTTATTTTAAAAAATGAGAAAGTTTTGCTATGCAAAAAACGTTGATATGTTGAAGCTAGGGCTCACCCTCACCAATTTAGCCAATAGAATTCTTCATTCTTGAACTGATCAAAATTTGGTCCCACTGACGAAGAACGATATACATACGATGACTACATTCGGAGATGGCTAACAGGAGGACCGTTGATTATCTTAAATCGGTATGCAAAAGTTGGAGAAACCTTCATTTGCAAATCCTCTAACCTTTGTAAAGCCGTAGTTGGAATAGACGCGAGTCATTTATGACCGTTTTCTTTGACTAAAGAAATGCTAACTGGAGTCTTTACAAAATGGGAGTGAAAAAGGACATCTGATCCTTTCTTTTTTTTAACCTTGATCAATATCTCATTTTGAAGAAAATCTTCGTCGTTCAGCACGATGGTCGCAATTGCTTCAACTCTTTTGTCGATTCCGTAGTTGAAGCAAACCATCAAGGAGATCTGAATAAAGATCCGACTGTTCTGGCTGAGACTATGAAGCTAATTGGTAACAGCTCCTATGGTTACCAGATTATGTACTGCTCCAAGCATAATATGACAAAGTATGATTTTGGCCATGGAGTAAACAAGCTAGTGAAAAACCGTTTCTTCAAAACGCTGAATGAGTTATCAAACAAGATCTACGGAGTGGAATTAGCAAAAGTCAAATCGAGCATAAAGACCCCATCCTTGTAGGCTTTTTTACTCTGTAGTACGCTAAGTTGGTGATGCTGGAGCTTGTATATAACTTCTTTGATGATTTTCGTGATACTGGAAAATACGAGTTGGTTGAAACTGTATGTTGCTGTCATTGTATTTTGCTATCAATGGAGAAAAGACAGAAGATATAATCAAAGCTGAAATGAATCAGTCCTGGAGTCTTATCTGATCAAAAAACTGCCCAGAATAGTTTTGTGCTGATACTTAGGTATTTTTTTCCCTCGCGAATGATGCACTGACCTCAATAAGTTCGATCAGAGAAGTCCTATGTTATTTAAGGAGGAATTCTGTTGCACTGAGATGCTAGCCCTTTGCTCAAAGACCTACTGCTACTTTGACGAGCGATCAAAAACAGTAAAATTAAGTTGTAAAAAATTAATCGGTCGGCCATCGCCAACGGTTTCCCTATGAATAAATATCGAAAATTTCTGATGGAGCAGGAAAAATTCGAAACTGAAAACTGTGGATTTCGTGTTATGGGTAACACAAAGTGTATTTATATATTCATTGAAGAAAAACTGAGCTACTTATACCCAAAACGAAAAGTAAAGGAGGATGGGATTCATATAGCTCCTTTGGATATTCAACTCATCAACTTTTCCTTCTTTATTATTAAACTTATATTATGAATTATACCCAACCAATAATATAACTGTTTTTTCAAAATTGAATTGTCTGTTATCGATTCTACTGAAAAGTTTTTAATCAAAGATGTTTTTTTTTCCAAATTTTTACAATTGCAGTTAGTTTTGGTTCGAAAACAAAAAATGCGAATTGAAAATTTTTAATGGAAAATTGGCCAGGGCTCCGCCGCTCTATTTTTTGAGAAATAACGCAGAGTTAATTTGGGAACGCAAAAAAAAATGAGAAAAATGGTCCCAGATCGTTTTTTTATTCAATTATCGTTGAAAACTATTTTATCTGGTAAACCGGAAATTGTTTCATTCACATCCAATCTAATTTTAAGATTTTTTCAATTTGTTTCTCATGTGTCAACTCGTCTGAAGACAGAAGTTTTGATAAAAGAAGTAAGTTATCAAAAAAAATAACAACAACAAATAAAAATCATAGTGTATGTCAACTCTACGTAAACACTAATGGTAGTCTATAAAAAGGCTGGTTGAAATCTTTTTTTTTGATAGGTTTAATCCTTTAGATCAGCTAAATTTTTACGAGCCATTCGGCATCGCTCTTACTGGCTTTTTCCAGTCGTTTTCTAGTCCGAGGAAGTGGTCCAGTTCTTATCACCGTCTGTTTCCGTGCTGATAGTGGAGCATTGACTTCTGGCACTACCGAATTGATTGCCTCCTGCAGATCGATTCGTGGTGGTGTTGGTTTTGGACCCCCAGTTTATCTTGTAGGTTTCGAGAATGCAACAATGTGTCCCGTCCCAGGAACAATTCGGCAGCAAGGAGGGTTCCCCAGCAGTTCGGCAGCATGTTGGGTTCCCCAGAGTTGTTGGGTCGATGTCAACTCGTCGCTTTCCCAATTTAGCGGCATCTGGTTTGTCGAAAAAAGGTATAAATTTTATTCGTCGCAGAAAATGTGAGAAATAATCGAAATCGAAGCTCCCCACTCACCACGT